CTCAGCATGTGTACTTTGTTGTTTTATTTGCACATGGTTTTGATATGGCTGTGATGTATGACATTTTGAATGTTAATGGTTACTCACCATCAGTATTACTGAAAAGAGAAATATGTGAGTACTTGAATGTTTAGTTCTCATATTTCATGGATTTGACTACTGCGTGTTGTACAGCTAAAAAAGAAAAACTGAAACTTTGAGATTTGGAAAGATTTCTTACATGAGGTTGATGCAATATTTTGATATTTAATTTAAACTTTAAATAGTTCATAATATGATAATGGACCTGGGTTATAGGTTAAGTGTTTAGAGAGAACAGGAAAGTCCGAGGACCAGGACGAGCTTCTGGTCATAACAGATGTTGAGTCAACCACTTTGAGGAAAATCACCATGAAGAAGATGCACACGTACACACTCACACATATGTTCACACTGCACTTACCTTTGAAGTCAGGTGTTACCGAAACAACTCTTAATTCTTCAAAGGCCCCAACGGACACTTTTATTTCATTTAAGTGTGCACACTCATTTTATTTCTGATAATTAGGGTCAATTTGATTATTTTGTACTCTTTCTGTACAAATTAGAGAATCTTTTTTATGCATTGTAACATTATAAGAGTTGCTACTCAACAGTTATTCTTGTGTCTGAGTCATTATTGCTGCTCAACACTTTGGCTCCTTACGAACTTATTACTAGCCCAAGTAGTTACTGTGCTGTAGTTCACTTTTATATCTCTAAAACTGCATTGAGCACTTGAAACAGCACATCTCACCTTTCCTCCCAACCATTTAGCAGATGTCCATATGAATGGCAGCACAGTGCTCTGATCAGCCAGGTAGAACTAAATAATTCAGAAGGCCCTCTGTGTTTGTGTGGCTGCACTTTACTGCAAGCAGTTCAACTTTGTCATTGTTGTGTCACAGGCATACAATTTGTTGGGTGTATATTACATATGTGGCTCTCTGCCCTTGGTTTAATTTTAGTGGGTGGGATATTTGTGTGTCAGCTCTCCTCCTGAGCACAGCACATATTTGGATCAGTAACACTAGTTCTTGAGGAAAAGCGAGAGGACTTTGCGGCCCCCCCCAGCTATGCCTTGGTTTCATCTGAGAAGCCTGGTAAGCTATATTACACTGAAATGAGCTCTGTGCTTTTACCCCCAGGGACACTGGGTATAGAGCCACATCTAGGCAGAAGGCGCAGACAAAATCTGCTGTTTACTGTTACTGTTATCAAACTTGGAAAAGATTTATAGCCTCTTTGAATGGACTTTCCTTCCTTGTGTGTTATCCTTATCCTGCAGATTAATTCTAGCCCACAAAGTTAGCTTAGGAATGTCAAGTAAGTCGAAAGGATCAGGGACTTAAATCCTGAAATATGGTCTCAATAGTGAAAGATGAAGTCAAGGACCTGGTTTCACTCAATTTGACAGATATGTTACTCTATAATCTAGTCATCTATATTTATTAAATTTTTAAAATTTGAATTAATGTGTAAGGCTTTACCTCTTACCTTTCTTTTTGCAGTCTCAATTTTCCAAATGAAAACTTTAATGACAAAAAAAACATTTTGTTTTTATACTTTGTAGGTTAGTTCAACTCTGAAGAACTGATTGCATACTACAACTTGAATCCCAAGCTAGAACAGATTCCATGAAACAGAAGGCAAAGACAAAAACAAAATTCTATGAATAAATGTGAGACAGAATAGTTCTAAAACATGTCAGTCTCCTTCTCAAGAAAGAAAATGGATTTTATTAACACTAAAGGATGGAAAGTCCAATGAAACTAAAAGCAATGTAAGAATGAAAACAGTTCAAAGCAGAAGAAGAGGCTCCAGTGAAATGGAGCATCATACAGAGGAAGAAAATAAAAAAACAGGACATGGAAAATTGCATGCACAACACAAGAACGATAATGACTTTACAGGTGGGAAAAAAAAGATGACCAAACATTCACCAAAAGTATTCCCAGCCATTCAAAATAGGATTAATAATGGGTTCCACGCTAAGCCTGAGAAAGAGAGGGTAATAGAAAGTGAGGAATCAGAGAGTGATGCAGGGAGCTCAGTGGAGGCATCGGTAAAGGAAATTAGTAATAATGAGGAGGAGGAGGAACAGAGTAGCGATGACGAGCCAGTTAAGACGCAGGCTAGTGAGGAAAGTAGTGAGCGATCTGAGGTGTTGAACACTCAAAGAGATACAGAACAGTCAGCAAAAAAACAATTAGACAAGGACGAAGGTGAATCCACCAGAAGTGAGTCTGAGGACCAAGAAGAAAAAGAGGGGAGAAAAGAAGAGGAACAAAAACAAGAAGAAGACGAGCAGGGAGGTTATCTACGTGAAACTATCAACCACGACAGATTTGCAGAAAGGTCTAAAAAACCAACTGCTGATAAAGCCGTCAGACAACACAGAAACACTCCCGCAAAGCCTGCTCAAGGATTGAAACACAAGATGTTTAAAAAGACAAAGGATCAGCAGGCTGCAAAGACAGAAAAACAACGGGCCAAAGCAGAGAAGCAAAGGTTGGAAAAGGAAGCCAAACAAAAAGCCAAGGAAGAAAAGGAGAAGAAAAAGAAGCCACAAAAAGAGTACAAATCTCGTTCTACAACAGAAGGGGTTCAGCCTCCAATGGGTATTTCTCTTATCAGGACTGACCCAGCAAAAAGTGAGACCCAGTTAACAAATAAAGTAAAAAATATCAGAGGGAGAGATTCTTCTGTAGAAGTTGATCTAATCATGCTTCCCAAAGCCAGAAGTGAAGAACTCAAAACAATTCTGGATCCAGAAGAGCAGCAGGGCCAGAGTGCCATTAACAGGAAGTCACAGATGTTGCTCTCGGGGAAAGTCAAGACATTGTCTCTCCAACGCAAAGAAACCACGATTTTGGCAAAGCCTGATAAAGAAGAAACAGTTACACGCACAACTGATGGGGGGTTCAATAATTTTAATGACCATTTGATCGCACAGGAAAAAGGTATGAAGAGTTTGGGCAGGCTGTCTGGCTGGATTCAAAAGAAAATGCCACAGGGGTTAAACTGGAGAAAAAATCTTTCTGCTTGGATTAAAGCAATTGGGATTTCTCGCTGGCTCTCAATTCAAGCCATAAACCAAAAACATGGCCTAAGAAAATCTAAGGGGAATATTTTCAAACAAAAGATGGCTGTAGGAGTTGCCAGTAAAGCCAACCTGGCTAACAGGAAAAACAAGAGCTCCACTGAGGACAAAATTGTTGAAGAGAGAGCAACCTTCCAGGGTACGGACAAGGAAGGAACAGAAGAAACAGTCCTAGGTGGGGAGAAAGTTGTAGAAGCCAGATATGCTGTTGTACTCCCGACGATGAATAAACTAAGCAAGGAAAATATAACAGAAGCACCTAAGGCAGATCTTCAAACTTCTACTCCAGCAATTCTACCAGCAGAAGCCACAACCCCAGAGCTCAGACCTCCAAAGCCAGGTGTCAAGTCTGTGCTCCCTGTCAAACCAGATCTAAATGTCCTAAAGGGCATCAAGAAACCCTTGTCTGGAGGATTAACATTAGTTCAACATGAGCCTAAAAGCAGTTCTGGACTCAATGAGTCCATCACTGAAGACAAAAACAGCAAAGGCAATCAAGATAGAGTCAATGTGTTCGAAGTTGCAAGAGGGAAGGTGAACACCTCTCAAATCAACATAACCAAGATGTCCTTGTCACTGGGTGGTCCAAAACAGGCCTCAGGACAAGAAGAACAAAGAGGTAGTTTAGCTTCAATGCCCACTTCTGCCACTCAACCATTTCCAAATGGAGAGTCCAGTGCAGAGAGATCAGGTGTTCGGTCTTTGTGTGAAGAAGAAGCAGACAAGGAAGTAGCTCATCTGATGGGTGAGGGGAGAATATGTTCTATCTCCAAACCAAAGGTACATTGGACTGGGAACCCACGGATGAGTGGAAAGCCTCAGGTATGGGTTACATTTTTGTTAGTGGACTTTTAAACAAGCATTGTTTAATATGTGGCTAGAAAACGTGAAATACATTTATTTAGGTATTAAAGGCTTTT